TACTAGAAGCGATGCACTTGTTCCTAGTAGCGTTCTTGCTCCTAGTATGACCAAAAGCATGAACTGAAACCAACAAGTTGATGCATCAAAGGTAGATCGTATAGCATCACGACTCGACTCGGAGCCGCCTCGGAGCCTGTCTTGACCGCCGGCGCGCGGATTGCGAAGTCCGCGGCGTTTCTCGGAGCTTCCGAAGAAAAGACTTGTCGGACACACCGGAGGAAAAGGCAGCGTCCTTTTCCGGTATTGAAAGAAGGGCTCCCTTGCAAAGGAATTTCCTTTTGGCTCCTTTTTGACTTGGACACGGATGCATTGAATTGTATTGAATGAGGCCATGCTTGCTGTGGCCATCATGGTAAGTGACCAGCTGTGCATCCATTTAAAAGGAAACACCTTGTAAACCTGGACAAAACACAGCAAGGTCACAGAAAAAGGTACACTGAGTCACGTCATACTTCCATGGCAGCAGGGAAAGGGAGCGAGATGCTCCAATCATCAGCAAAAGGTCCCCTGTGAAGGCACAGAGGTGCTGTGTGGCCGACCTACTCTGGCCTCCAACCTAAGTGCTAAAGTGATCCGAAACAAGGCGCTGTCCGAAACCAGGCCAGATGTAGACTTGTCACAAGGGAGCCGGCCATACTGTAGATGCCCGTACTCACTGCTCACCTGCCAGAACATCGAAAAGGGCCTGCTGGGTGGTGGAGGTCTTGGGTCAGGAGCTTGGGTCAGTGGCGAAGAGATCGAGGAATCGGAGCGACATAGCGATATGGCCTCCGATGCACTTGTTCCTAGTAGCGTCCTTGCTCCTAGTAGTAAGGCACTTGTTTCTACTAGCTTCTTGTTACTACTAGTAAGGCACTTGTTACTACTAGTATTTGATACGTTTTTTTTTTTCTCTTTTGGTTCAACGGAGCCCAAGGTTCTCTGGTCTCGACGAGGATATTGACACGTCAAGCTATCAGAGGCACGCGTTTTTATGAACCCTTATGAACTTTTTTTTTTGGTATTTTTGTTACTATTTTTTTAATTTTTTTCAGAGCCGCGAGTCAAAAAAAGCTTCTACATTTACAAGAAATCTCATAAGAACAACTTCAACGTTCGCGGCGCTGGAGGTTGAAGACCGTTGTTCACGATGAGCTGAAGAACTTTTTCCGGCCAGAGTTTTTGAATAGACTGGACGAGGCCACCAAGCTTATGTGAAGACAGAAACATAGAGAAACAAGAAAAGAGAAAGGCCTTAATGCTATTAGGTTGGAGGTCATTGCTATTAGAGAAACAAGGAAAAACAAAGGCCTTAAGTTGTGCGGAGCTGTGGACACCCGCACTTTCTGCCCGCAGATCATCGTCTTCAAGTCGCTGAACAAGCAGGAAGTAGCTCAAATAGCAGAATTAGAATTCAGGACGGAATGCTGAACTGTCAAAGTGATGTGAGAAAATCTGACATGCTTGCAGCTGCTTGCATACTTGGCTTTCTCGTTTGTCAGGAAGGTTTTCAAATTGACGACCGAGAAAGGCATAAAGCTTTTGTTGACAGACCGGTTCAAGAAGAAGGCAAGACTTGCGGCAAGACTTGCAGCAACATATGCGAGACCATGCGAGAACCGAATAGCTGTAGAAGACCAAAACTAGACACAGCTGATGAAGCGATGGCCTCCAACCTAATAGCAAAAGGAACCTAGTAGGAATAACCTCCAACCTAAGAGCGATGGCCTCCAACCTACTAGCGATGGCCTCCGACCTAACAGCTGCTGAAGCATTATACATAGCATTATTTCAGATGTTTATTTAAGGGCCTTTTTGTGGCTATACATGGCCATACGGATGCTGAACATAATCTTATTTTTTTCGTTCCAATGTGGTTGGAGAGTGTGAAGATGTCACATTATTTGTTTGTTTGTTTCTTTGTTTTTGTTATTTCTATTTTTTTTCCATGGTTTCTAATAGCGATGGCCTCCATCCAACTAGGAATGGAGGCCCAACCTGAGAGCGAACACATGGATTGTGGGAAGCTTTGTCTCTCAGAGGTCTTTTTTGGCTTTCACTTTTCTTGAGCTGAGCCGCTGTGCGTTCACGAGCACTGATACGTACTGATGCATTTCATTGAAATGCTCGTATCTCGGATCAGACTTGAGCGACAATTGAAATAAAGCTTTTGGGACGCTACAAACGGGGCTCCTGGCCGTACTAGGAGCATTTCGGGCATCGCTACGAACGGTGCGTTTTGGAGCTAAGACGGAGTATCACGAGTAACCGGGTGCGGTGAACGGAGGTGAACGAAGGCTGCGAGCGCTTCAAGGAAGCTTTTTCCAGGGCCTTTAGGGCGGGGAGCTTCCTTGAAGCGTGAGCTATCCTGTGTCCGGTAGGTACTGCGTTTTAGTATGCGCCTACTTAATTAAGCAAGGCACGGGGCAGAGCGGGCTCCAGAGGTGAATGCAAGCTGCTTCTTTCTAGACTCCTAGACGTGTGTTATGCCAGATCTCGCGCGAGGTGGTGGATGAAGGCTTCAATCCGGTCTACGGAGCACGACCTCTTAGACGGGCTATCACCAGACTCTTAGAGGACTCCGAGAGTCTTTGATTTTACTTTTTCTTTGTTCATTGCGTCTTGTGCATCGCTGCTAGCGATGGCCTCCAAGACCTGAGACAAGAACCTGGCACAGATTGCGCGGAAGACATTGCAATGCGCACTAACGCAGGTGAATCTGTCGCCTGAGCACAGCAATGATCCTACAAGTACTCCAAAAAAAAGAGAGAGTCAAACCATCCAGGACTCACAAAGTGACGAGGCGAGCTTGCCTCAAAGCTACACCAATCAGCTTGCCAGCTGCGCTGTAGACACTTCTGAGCGGTCCCCTTTTTGAATCAAAACCGGTCATGTCGGGCTCGGCGCTGGTTCGCTGCAGGCCACAAGGAACAAACCATGGCGACTGTGTGGTGTTTGGGTGTTTGCACAGCGACGCGTTCGACACGCAAAAGGTTGAAACAAGGCTAGCTTTTTCAGCCCTTTCAACAAAGAGGAACAACAATGGCTCTCTTAGGTTGGAGGCCATCTCTATTAGGTTGGAGGCCATCGCTATATCAGGTGAACTCTATAGTAGGTCTTCGTTTGGACTATGACTCACCCGTACGGTCGAGGACCAACTTGCAGAAAGCTTCCTGGAGATGCCTGGATGCCGAGAAGCGAGCAACGGAGCAAGGGAGAAACCGACCCCCCCAAAATGAAGAGACTGGAGCCTCCAAGGCTTTGTATGGAGTTTCTTGATGTTTCTTGTACCGCAGTGAAACAGCGACAGTTCTTGCAACCTGAGATCCAAGTCAAGCCACAATTGGTCCCTTGCGGCTCAATCCAGCTGTGGAACCAGCAGAAAGAACTAGAAAGACATGAAGGCGATGGAACCTGCGCTTCAAGAGCATTGGACAGGAATCTGTGAGGTGATGGATAGGATTGAATTCTTTTCGCCCAAGCAGAGCAACCCAAACAGCCCACTCTTACTTTTCCTAAGATGTCAAGATGTCATGCAACGCATGTTTTTCTTATTTCAAGGACGCTACCAGGAGCAAAGGGCATCGCTACTAGGAGCAAGGACGCTCCTAGGGCTCCTGGCCTTACTACTCGTAACAAGAAGCTACTAGTAACAAGTGCATCGCTTCTAGTAACAAGTGCCACGCTAGTAGTAACAAGTGCCTTACTAGTAGTAACAAGAAGCTACTAGTTTCTTTATCATCCGCTTCGGCACGCGTCGCAATGCGGCTCGCAATGCGTCGCATCATAGTGTTTGTCATATGGTGGCATTTGACCCTGCCCTTGGCTTCGCAGAGTGCCTGGCAACAGAGATTTCTCAATGAGGCAGTCCAACCAGGGCAAACATGCCAGTCTAAGAAGGCCAAAAAACGGTTCTTTTACAGCTAAGACAACTCCTTTGACTCTTTTAGTGGCCAAGTAGAAGTCTTCACTGTAGCTACTCGCCACATGACTGCCAAGGGATTTTTTGGGCCTTGTAAGGCCATGCCCGACGCTAGTACGGCCGCTATCAGGTTGGAGGCCGTCGCTAGTGGATTAACTCGTAACAAGGTTCGCTACTAGGGGCTCCTGGCCTTACTACTGGGAGCAAGGACACTAGAGCTGCTAGTCATGCGTCGCATGCGTTGTCTCGACTGTAGGTGAACTCTACAGCCTTGCAGCGCTCAAGCGCCGCCACGCCGAAGCTGCTCGCGCGCTTGGATGGCGCCGTTCGGTGGTTTCCGGCTATTTGTTCCTCATCGTTCTCATGCTTTTCTAGTTGTTTTTTCTAGTCCTTTCCGCTCTGATGCAAGGGGGTGTTCGCTCCGAGAAGAGTTGTTTGCAGGTGTTGTTGGTGTTCTTTTCGGCCTAACCGTCCACCAACATGCTTCGGATTTGGATGTGATTGAAAGAGTCTTCCAACAGCTTTTTAGCTGCACAATTCAGTAGACCAGGTAGACAATGCGAGTCGTGGTGAATTGCAGGTTGTGGTGAAACTGGTGCCTTTTTGAGCCCCATGGACTGCCCAAGCTGGATTTTCGCAGGTGCAGATACGCGTGCCTTTCTGGCCCGTTGCTGTCCTGAGGCGCTTAGCCAGAGGGCTGGCCTTTCTCGCAGCCAAGAACAGTTTTAAAAGGAAGGTGTTGATGGTTTTTTCTTTTTTACACAACGCCTCTTGAAGGGCGTTGGCTTTGGTAGCCTTTTGCCATCCCTCACTGCATGCTCTTCACTTCACCAAGAAAAGAATACCAGAAAGAAAAGACGAAGAAACGACCAAAAGACATGAGGTCTGCATCGCTTCCAGTAACAAGTGCCTTACTAGTAGTAACAAGAACTCTACTAGGAACAAGTGCATCGCTACTAGTAACAAGTGCCTTTCCTTAGACCCTTTTTGTGAAGAAGGTCCTTAGACCGGTCCTTTCGTAAGCAGACCGGTGAGGTGGCTCAGTGGCCAGCAGCGGACTTGGCGGAGACGTTGCGGCAAAACCTGCGAGCCGCGGAGGTGGTGTCGGGCTTCAGCAGTGAGGTGCACCTCGCTGCATTAGAAGGAAGAAACATCAACAAGTAAACGACCCATTAGACGGATGCATTCGCAGGAGCATTCTTTGTTTTGCATAAAGAAATGAGCATTAGAGAATCAGACTTTAGACCTCTACTTTCTCATTTGGACGGATGCGTTGATGTGTGTGTTTGCAATACTGTTTCGGAATCCCGACTGGCCGTCGACGCGCCAAGGTGAACAGATCCTTTTTTTTCATTCTCTTTGTCGGAAGCTGAAGACGTTTCTCATTACGAGAACCTGCGCCTCGGATGATGAGTAGGTAATAAGTTTGGCATATCAACTGTAGAGTACTTTGCTAAAGAAAACCACTCAAGACTTCTTTTTTCTTTCCCTTGACTTTTGTCCTTCGAGGTGGGAGCTTTGGATGAGAAATCATGCTGAGCTTAGCAACTATTCTGTTGGCATGGATTGGGTGGAGACCAACTTCTACGGGTTCAAACCATTCCAGGAGACTTGCCAAACCGCTCGTTTGAAAACACTAAATAGTGTTCTACTAGCAAGAGACTGAACCCAAGAAGCTTTCCTGTTGTCATTCTGTCTTGACGATTCTTGAATGTACTAGTAGCAAGGACGCTACGAACGTAGCTCCTCTTACTACTAGTAGCAAGAAGCTATTAGTAGGAACAAGATGTACTAGGGGCTCCTGGCCGTACTACCAGGAGCAAGGACGCTACTAGGAGCAAAGGGCATCGCTACTAGGAGCAAGGACGCTACTAGGGGTTCCTGGCCGTACTACTAGGAGCAAGGACACCACTAGGAGCAAAGGGGAGTCCAACTTGAAGATGTGCCTGAACCGCGCAAGATCCCATGCCTAGTGTCCAGTGATGTTCTTCATCAAGTTGTCTTTATTGCAAGCTGCCCTTTGGAAAGCTCTGCGCTTGTGGCCCGTTTGAACCGGATGATTTCCAGTGGCTTCCCTGCAGTTCAAGTGCTTGTCTAAAGGGCAACCTTTCTCAGGCAGCTCACTTGCCACTTTCGGAGTTTTGCACTTGTAAAAAGCAAACAAGCACGCGCTTGTTTCGTACTGAAAGGTTTTCCCAGCGAGCCAAGCCGGTTTCTTTGGGACGTTCCGAATCGGGCGTTCCGAATCTGCAGGAGCCTGCCTACCCAAAGAGCATGGAGGAGGCAGGCTTGTACTGGTAGCTTCTAGTAGCTTCTTGTTACTACTAGTAAGGCACTTGTTACTACTAGCGTGGCACTTGTTTCTAATAGCGAACATTGTTACTAGAGCATGGAGGAGGTCGTGGGATGTCGAACGTGCCGTCCGCCGTCGTCCGTCGTCCGTCGTGTCGAGGCCAGAGAAAGAAGCGCTTACTTTCTGCTCAACTCCCTGCGCGTGGATGTGGGTTCTTGGCCAGAATTGGCTTTCTGAAGCTGCCGGGATCTCTTAGAACAAGACACAACTAGTTAAATTTCTCACAAAAATCTAGGAACCAAATGGATAGTGCTTCTTGGGAGCTTCGTTGAAGACTCAGCTTTCCTGAGTCCTGCTACCTTTAGCTTTCAAGCTACTACTGGCCCCTTATTAGTTATTGGTAGCTACGAAGGTTACCTCGGCCTCCTCCTCTTTTAATAGAAGCTGTGTACACACGTTGTGTGCTCTGTGCTCAGGTTCACCGCTCTACGGAGATATCACCGTGGTTTTGCTTCCAAGCTTTGCTCACCGTGTGTCGGTCACTTGAGACCTGACGGTTCCCATACCCGGTCTGGATCGCCTTCGGAAGGAAGAACCGGTCTGAAGAATTCTAAAGGTAAACATGAATGTATATATATATATATACGTGTTTCTTCCAACTTGAAAGTCAGTACGGCTCCACATGCCACGACAATGTCAATTTGATTTTGTGTTGCCTGGTTTCCTCACCCTTTCTGTGACAAACAGTTATAATATAGTGCAATAAGAAACAACACTTCGAACGAACTGTTTTGCATTTGTGCTGTCGTCAGTGGTTGAATCACCGGAAGTTCTCATCTTATGTTCCATAGTCTTGTTTCTATGTTATTATGCTATGTCCGCCCCAACATTCATTCGTGAGTTCTGTCGGGATTTCAGCACCCTTGATCATTGTAAGTTTGCTCAGACTGGTGACGGGCCTTGATGTCTCAGGTTTTCCAATAGCATTGCCCTAGTAGTATGGCCAGGAGCCCCTAGTACCGTTTGTAGCTTCTTGTTACTGCACATGTGGAGCCATTTACAGCAATGCGTTTTGGTATAGCTGTAGCGTCCAAGCGCTTCCTCCACGCTTGATGCCAGAGACCATGCTTGAACGCCAGCGCTGTATGTAGAGGTCACGGGAGGCTGTTGTGGTTCAGATAGCTGTTTCCTTAATTGGAGATTGGTGCAGTTGCTGCTGCGGGCACAATGTAGATGTAGTAGTAGTAGTAGCAGCAATTTCTGAGGTGATTTCACCTCTTGATTCGGGCAGCTGGTGCGGCTTTTGTCACCAGTGTTTCCAGATGCCAACCCCAAGCCACTTGACAGCAACGAAGGAACAGGGGAACAATCGGGGAACTATGTGGGTGCCTATGAAAATGGAAACACTTTCAGAAATCAAGACGCTTAGTTCTATTAGAAACAAGTGCCACGCTAGTAGTAACAAGTGCCTTACTAGTAGTAACAAGAAAGCTAGTAGAAACAAGTGCATCGCTACTAGAAATCAAGACGCTTAGTTCGTTTTATCAAGTTCACGGTCGAGGTTCGAGATCACATTTGTGAACGCTTTTGTAGAACGGTGTAAGTGTAGCAGAGGAGTAAAAGTCAAACGTGCGGCCCTACATGATGGATGGAAATTGTTTGCATGCTGTGTAGTAGGGTTGAGGCCATCGCTCTTAGGTTGGAGCAGTTCTTTGCTGCTTCTTGCTCCTAGTAGAAATGCCCTTGGCTCCTAGTAGCGAACATTGTTCCTAGTAGTAAGGCCAGGAGCCCCGTTCGTAGCTTCACTGTTTGAACGTTCTTTTAAAACCCGGTGTTTCTCAGTGTGAGGCTATTCACACAACTGCAGCGCCTGGTCTGGTCCTGAAGGGCTGGGGACCTTCCAGGCCGGTGGTGCGGTGTGCCGACAAAAGGTCAAGTTCCAAGAACTAACATGTTCCTAGTAAGGCACATCAGGCACATCTTCAAGTTGGACTCCCCTTTGCTCCTAGTGGCGTCCTTGCTCCTAGTAACTTACGTAGCTTAAGTAAGGTACTAGCTGCCTCTTCCACTAGCTACCTACCTTAGCGGCCCAAGCGGAGTCGCCAGAAAGAGGAACGGCGCCAGACGGCGCAAGAAACGCCAGGCCTTAGACCATCTCCTTGGCATCAACGAAGCGTATTGGGCCACGCCTGAGGTGCGAAGCGATTTGTGCTTCGCTACTACTAGGAGCAAGGACGCTACTAGTGGCCGCGGCATCGCTAGGAACCTAGCTCTATTTTGCTTTATCAGGCTAGCAAGAAGCTATTCAGGCTATCAGGATGGAGGCCATTACTACTAGCAAGAAGCTAAAGAGACGAGAGAAACGATTATTCGCTACTAGTAACCGGACGCTACTAGTAGCTCCTGGCCTTACTATATACTAGGAACAAGAAGCTTCTAGTAAACAAGGGCATCGGTACGAACGGAGCAAGAACTGACGACCGTGACAGGATGTGTAGATTTTCTCCTGTTTTGGGAGGAGTATAGCGATGGGCTCCACCCTACTGGCGATGGCCTCCAACCTACTAGCGGTTTTTTTCAGCTGCTACCGTGCCTTCCTGACAGGCCTTTCTGCACCCACTGGGACGATTGCTGGGCTCTGCGACGTTCACTGGCGAAGACTTGGTGCGATACTTCGAGGCCGAATTTTTTGAGGAAAGACCGATGGGACCAGGTCGAAGAACGTTTTATGAACGGGGTTTCAACAGTTTCTTTTCTGTAGCAACAGAGACAAGGACAAAACAAAGGAGCAGAAACTCAGGGTTGCGGCAGCTTTCTTCATGGATCTCGTTCTGATTCATCTGAGTGCATTACTACTGGTAACAAGGTGCATTGCTTTTGCGCATTTCTTCACCTCTTGGCAAACCGCGATCTTTCGAGGTGATGCCTGCCGCAAAGATTGAATTTCCTCAACACGTAAAGCAGCTCAGAGGATGTCTCAGACCGTCAACGGAGGAAAACAGAAAACAAGGATAGACAAGGAAGGAGAATAGAAAGAAGGCTAAAAGGCTAAAAGTGTTTGAAGAACACCGGTCTGTGTTGTTTTGTTATTTTTTAAATCTTTTCAAATCATTTTTTAGTTTCTTTAGCAGCAAAACTATGAGAGTTGCCTCACCAACCTCTGATGCCTGTCCTTTTAGACTGCTGGCAAGCATGAATTGCGGCCAAGGTTCGTCATTGCTGCCTTTCCAAGCCTTTTTGGGACAATGCGAGGGGAACGTGTTCGAAGTTGGTGTCGAAGAAATGGATGGCTGCTTGTTTGGTCTTTGGGATTGAATGTGGGCTTCTCCACAGATCATGGCATTTTGGTCAAGACCTTGGCAAAATTTTGATTTACATGTTGGTTTCCCTGTCAAGCACGTTTCATGTGGCAGATGACACATGCCGTATTGAGAGCTGATTGAACACTGTTGAAGGCAAGAAAACCCATGGTTGACCCTCTTCTGGTGCCTTATTTTCTCGTTCAGATGCACAACACAAGCGCCAGCTTGGTGCGTGAACGAACAGAAAATCGGTTAGGGGTTTTCTCCTTTTGCGTCTGCTGTGATAGCTTCTTGTTACTAGTAGTAAGGCCAGGAGCCCCTAGTAGCGTCCTTGCTCCGAGTAGTAAGGCCAGGAGCCCCTAGTAGCGTCCTTGCTCCTAGTAGCAAGGCCAGGAGGTTCTAGTAGCGTCCTTGCTCCTAGTAGCAAGGCCAGGAGCCCCTAGTAGCGTCCTTGCTCCTAGTAGTGAGGCCAGGATCCCCTAGTAGCTTCTTGAGGTATGCCTCATTTCTGGGATGTCCGCCACAAGGGCCCATTCCTTTGCAAGCAGCGGCTAATTGATCCGGTGCTGCTGGAGTGGCTTGGGGCAACTCGTGACTGACAGACGATGTCACTACTGAGACCTTTCTTCTCTTTCTGTTTTCCTTGGTTCTATTAGCGATGGCCTCCAACCTTCCTACTTTTTCGGAGTTGAATTCTTGAATCTTTGGACGTGATCTCGCCCTGATAACGTAGGCTACGCACCAGCATGAAACTTGATGGTTTGCCACCTCATTTTTTGCCCGAGAGCGCCTGCGAAGGGTTCTTCGTTAAAAAGACATCTGCAGAACTACGTCTCATCTACATCTTCACATCTTCACCTCTGCACATCTACATTCTCACCTATATCTCTGCTCATCTTCACATCTACATCTCTGCTCATGTTCACATCTGCACATCTACATCTCTGCTCATCTTCACATCCTCACATCTACATCTCACATCTTCACCTCTCGCTCTTCTTTACTTTCTCTCTTAAGGCCGGGGGCGGTGCCGCCGGAGCACCACGAAACGCAAACCTCTGCGGAAATCGTGCGTGTCGAGGGCACGAAATGCAGGCGAGAGCGCGTTTTGGCCCGGTCGCGGGCAACCCTCTGCGGAGATCGCCGGCGCAACCCTCTGCGGAGATCGTGCGTGTCGAGGGAGCAAAGTGCAGGTGAGAGTGCGTTTTGGGTGCTTTTCGGAGCTGGACTCAGAAGTGGCCAGCTTGTAGTGCAAATGTAGTGCCGGAAAGAGCCTTTCGGAGCTGGACTCAGAAGAGGGCAGCTTGTAGTACAAATGTAGTGCGGGAAACAGCGTTTTGGAGCTGGACTCAGAAGTGTTTGCTTCTAGTGTGATGTGATTGCTTCCAGTGTGTGTGCAGACCGTGTGGCGAATTACGTCCGTGATGTCGAAGTGCCATGCGGACTTGCGCGGCCTTGATGGAAAGTGCGTTTGCGTGGCGCCGTGCAACTGGGGAGCGTGAAACATGCTGGCGTAAACGCGGCGTGTCGCTGGTGAGCGGGATGACTGGCGGTATCGTGTGCTAGGATTGCTTCTAGTGTGCTCTGTACATTTACATCGTCACACGCGCACATCCGCAGATCTACCTCTCTACCTCCACACACCCACACATCTGCACATCTATATATATCACATCTGTACATCCACACTGTCACTCCTTCACATCCGCCCTCTCTTTTCCTCCTTCTATATATATATATATATCTCTTTTCTTTACATTTTAAGTTTAACTTCTTCGCAACTTCTTACTCAATAACAGATTGTATAGAGAAGTCATGGCTCTTGGACAACTCGATTTTTATTGTTTCATAACTCGACAGTGCTGAACAATCACCTGTCTCGCTCTCGGGCCAACCGTCGTCTAGTTTCAAAAAAGCACGCGACATGCTCCCGGCTGTCGGGGATTGGTTGCTCTTGGGCTAAAATCTCTTCCTTTCAGGTCGGCCCAGCTGAACGCGACGGCCGCGTCGGAGGATCTGACGGCCTTTGCGGCCTCATGGCGCCAGATGAGTTCCCTGCGTGCGGCCACCCTGCAACCAGAGGCCCCACTGGTCGGCCGTCGCCCTCACCGTGGTAGTCACGGGGAGTCACGGGGAGTCCTTCGATGAGTGGCGCGTCAAAGGATATTTCAAGGGGAACCACGCTGAAAAGCGAGTGAACTACTAGGAGCAAGAAGCTAACAAGCCGTGATGTAGCTATCAGAGTTCTTCTTGAACATCGAAGAAACGAACTTTAAGCATCCCTTAATTAAGACCTCTTACGACTCTGCTTTCGTGGGGAGGGTCTTAGAACTACCTATCGGTTCCTGCCCCTTACAATATTTTGGTGTGGAGTCTTGAACACTGTTTCCTTTATCGTCGCTTACTGCTATTCTCAAGTATTTCCAGCTGTATTTCAATCGGCTGTGGATTATACACACTGCCCACGGCTGCCGTTCGCCGAGAAAGGACTTCTCTGCTTTTTGGACGGCGCTGGTGGCAAATCTCTCAGCAGATTTGCAGACACTTAGGCGGCAAGTGTCTCTAACCCCAGAACTGGGGATGCAGAGTCGAGCACGACGGCAAGTGTATGAAACGTGTCATCGGAAGGATGCACCCTAAACAAGATAATCTGTCAAGGGAACCGGCTTTGATTGTAATCTGGAACAGGTCTTTTGCACCTTCGGTTTTGACGATGCGTACGGGCAAACAAGTTTGAGTTGTGGGTGAACCTGCCGCACACGCAGTTGGAGAATGGCTGGCAAATCCAGCCCCATGATGCTGTGCACATGTGTGTTTGGTTGAGCTGTGTTTGTGTGACGATGTCTCTTTGCTAAGGATAGAAGCTGTACGACCTTCCTGTGATTTGGATCGCTGTATGGGTGTAACGCACCGGGGATGTCTTTGCAGAATGCGCAGTGAAGATGAAGGAATGCGCACCTGGACAGTGTGAGCGCGAAACAAAAGGAGAGTCTGCGTGCTGCATCCGAAGAACATAACAATTCAGCAGCAAAAGGTCCTCGAGCCCCAAGAACCACCGTAGACGGAATGTTTCTACTAGGAATAGTAGCAAGGACGCTACGAACGTAGCTCCTGGCCTAACCTATATAGTAACAAGAAGCTACGAACGCAACAAAGGGCATCGCGACGAACAGAAGACTCCTGGCCTTACTAGGAACCAGAACGCTACTAGGGGCTCATTGTTTCTAATAGCAAACATTGTTACTACTAGTAAGGCGCTTGTTCCTAGTAGCGAGGCACTTGTTACTAGTAGCGCTAGGGCCGCTCAAGCTGGTTGAGGCCTTCCACGGAGGGTGAGAATGTGATTGTTGATCTGGACAAGGACGAGCAAGCAGGGGTTGCCGAGATCCATCAAACGGCGGCAGGACGATCACATCAAACGGGATCAAACGGCCTCTTTGGATCGGACGAAGTCTGCCCGTCTACGGCCTCTTGCCGTCCTCTCAGGTCCTCGTCTTGCGACAGCAAGATGAAGCTGAGGATGCAGTTGAAGAGGTCGGAATTTCGTTCCAAACCGTTCAACAGTGGAACGAGACAAAGCGACCCACACGAATTCGGTCGAACCATTGTGGAAAGAGACTTCTAACGTCATCAAACGTCCATTTCATGACTTTTGACGCAGCAAAAAAGGGGTGTATTCCAAACGACACCCAGACTTGTGCTTTGAGCGGTGTAGCGGCGCGGCTTTCGCGTAGGTGGAGGAGAAAGTTGCAGAAGTGACTGCGGCGTAGGTCGAGGCAGGTGGAGTGGATGAAGGAGACGAATCGTTGGAGCAGAAAGGAAGAAGGCAGGCAAGCTGGAATGGCCTCCAACCTACAAGCGATGGCCTCCAACCTAGAAGCAGAGACTTCGGAGACTTGAGCTGAAATTATTTTGTCTCTGTAGATATGTAAGTTCGTTTTACTGCCATTTGTTGTTTGTTCTAGGGGCAGTAGGCCAGTAGGAGGTTTTTTTTTTGGAAGTCAAGCTCCTCTAGACCTTTGGCGACCTTGGTTATTTGCACGTTTCTTCCTTCAATTCTTTCCGAAAAGAAGAAGACGGAGTCGAGAGCGATGAGGCACAATTGTGCAACATTTTTCTTTCCAGATCTGTGGGTGCGTCTGGTTGGAGGCCATCGCTAGTAGTAACGAGAAGCTACCAGTAACAAAGGGCATCGCTACTAGGAGCAAGGACGCTACTAGGGGCGCTCCTGGCCTTACTACTAGTAACAATAAAGCTACGAAAAAACCATCTATGCGAAGAGTTTGGCACCGGATGCAGGTTTTCGGAGCTGGGCACGTCGCCCACGTATCACTGAATGTGCTCACCCAGTTTTCGTTTCAAAGTATTCTCATTGCCCCAACGTGCCAGAGATCTGTTTGCGGCAAGGGAAAGCGCATATATTCCGTGCCAGATGTGTTTGCAAAGGCTTGAGATTGAACTTGAGGAAACGAGCTGCCCAACCTAGCTCAGTTGATGAAGGTACAGTGTGGAAAAAGAGGGTACTGCTGAGAACATGTGTGGGTCAGTTCAAGAGCCTTTGGCTACACATTTGCATTCCGTGGCCCCTGTCAGCTGCAGATGTGCAACCTTAGTACTCAAATATATCATATGATGATTAGATGCTCTGACCTCGATTGAAGACACCAGCGATGGCCTCCAACCTAAGAGCGATAAGAGCGATGGCCTCCAACCTACTTCGTAGCTGGGTGCAAATCTTACCTTCGAATTGCGACTTCTGCAGCGAGCTTCTCGTGGAAGAGCTGTGTCAGCGGCCTTTTCATATTACGAGATGTTGTAAAGCCAAACTAAGACGAGAAGAGAAGAAAACAGAATCTATTGGTCCTGCAATCAATTGCTGGCAAGGTTTAAGATTTTTCTCAGCAGCCTGGTCACCGTCGATCCAGAATGAGCCAATCTTCAGGGCAAGGTATTCCAGGCTTTCGAAGATTCCTGCAAAATGCATAGGAAATCCTAGACCTGAGGCCCGCTAGCATTTTCAATGTCAACAAACACCCCATATGCAGTGATGGCCTCCAACCTAATAGTGATGGCCTCCAACCCTACTTGCAATGACCTCCAGCCATAATCTTTCTATCTCTCAAATCAAAGCCTTGAACCTTTTCGCCGCCGGCTTTTCCAAAGTTTCTGAGCGCTCTAGCGGACAGCTGCAGAGGTTGCAACTCAATCAAGGAATATGATGTATGAATATGTCAGATGTTTGGCAAAGACAGGAGGTCGACATCCCTGCTTTCCTTTAGTGTAGTTCACATGCTACTTCTGCATTCATAGGTTTGCCTGGCTCGCTTCGTAGGTTTGTTTGGTTGGTTAAGTGCCCCTAGAGGATGCTACGACCGGCAACCAGCAACTCCCCAGATCGCTTCCAATCGTGCGACCTCGGCGGTGCAGACACAAAGCAGTGTGCATAGCGAACGCAAAAGTGCGGAATCTCCGAGCCCCTCGCATTGCAGCTACGTTCATAAGGCCAGCTACGTTTGTAGCGTCCGATCGCTCCTAGATGGACATGCCCACGTAGTGTTTGATACAGATTACTTTCCGCAGTAAAACACCTTGCTCAGAAGGCGTGGTAGGTTCTTGCTGATGCTGGGTTACGTTTGACAGATGCTTGACTCTAGCTGCTCCATGCAAGTGGCTTGATTCTTCGACTGGCCTAGTAGCTTCTTGTTCCTAGTAGTACGGCCAGGAGCCCCTAGTAGCTTCTTGTTCCTAGTAGTACCCTGCTGCGGAATCATTGGCCCAAGAACTGTTTTCGTCCAGGAAGTTGAGAATATGCCCAATCTGTTGCGACGAACAAGAAGTGCTGCAGCACACCTCAAGGTTGAAGAACAAGATCATTTCGTCCGAGCTGCATGACCAGATTCGGACCTCTTCACCCCCCAAACCGTGAGGGGTCGTGTTTTGTCAGGTTTTTCACTGGCCCGCTTGACCATTTGCAGAATCCGTTTCTTTGCTTGAAACACCGAGCGCTGAAAAGGAGAGCCTTATCTTTGAATCTTCAACTCTTCAACTTTCGCTGCGTTGCGAGCCGTAGCCATGGCTATGCCGCTATTGCTCCCAACGATCCCTGTCCCAGACCAAGACGAGCTCAAACACAGCACGGCATGTAATTCCTGGAGACGAAGGAACACGCCTGGTACCCATCATTGTCAACTTTTTGTCTTCACCTTCAGGCTTTTCTAGCAGGCTTGTCTTGGTTTGAATTTGTGAACAAGAATGGTGCTCCGATTCGTCCATCTGCTACACATTTGGTCAGTGGCAGTCAATTCACTTCCACCACTTCCACCACTTCCACTTCAAGTCTTTTCTTTCATTGAAACTTTTAAGAGTTTCTTTGTTCATATTTTTATTCTTTTTCTGACCCATTTTCTCTTCTTTTCATCACTTCTTTGGACTTTACTTTCGTCGGCGTACGAACGCGTCATTGAAAACACCCGTTGCTCCACCTGGCTTCGTTTGTGGCTTCGAGGTGGCAGCCAGCACAAGCACAGCTGCAGCAGGTGCTGGCGTCGCATATCGCCCACCTGATATGCTCCAGCCACAGCGCATTGAACTTCCAGGCTATTTGAACACCCCAGCCAGGCCAGCTGGACAGAGTTTCTTCGTTGCCTGTACCATTCTTTTCAGTTTACATGCTTTTTTTTCGCCGCACTTTTCTGTGGGATTCGTGGGCACCACGCTACGTCGCTACCACATGCGACGATCAGGCGGCCTGATGGAGAACCGCTTTTACGAGAGGACCAGCTGCGGGCAAAACACGACATTCTTTCATATCAGATTCAAAAATAGACAGTCAGGGGTAGTAGCAAGTGCAGCAAGTGCATTGCTATTGGAGCAGGTGCATCGCTACTAGTAACAAACAGTTTTCTTTTTTACACAGAAAGCCTAGTGGTAAGAGCAGCCCAAGAGCAATGCATAGTTTCTTCCGTAGACCATGTGGAGTTGAGGTTCTTGAGCCCCTTGGGGCCTTAAGACACAGTGGGCTCGGTGTTTTTTGTTCTTTCATTTCTTCGCTTTCTTCAGACCTTTCTTCAGACCTTCTTCAGATCCTTTAAGACCTCTTTTCGTCTGCGCCTTTTCTTTCTTTTGGGCCCTTTCTCTCTTTCGTTCGGGCCCCCCCCGGCCTTCCAGAGACGTTGGGTCGCGTCTTCGCGTCTTCGCCGCCAGGAGCGCAACGCGTCGTTGCGGAAGATGAAAGATCTCGCTGCTCGGAGCGAAAGATCGGAGCGACGACGGGGTCGCTCCCTCGCTCCCTCGTCGTCGAGTCCGATGTTTGCGGAGGTCGCCGGAGAAAGGAAGAACTTGAGCGATTCGCCTCCAAATAGAGATATAATTAGTTGTCATGCTGAAGATATATTCATAGATATAGTTATTTGTTATTTATACATGTTTCTTAAAAAGGGGCGGGTAACAAGTGTTAGCTAGTCATTAGTAAGAAAAAGGAGGCAAGTAGAACTCAGCCTTCCGATGTTTTATTTGTATTTTCCGCCCGTGGCCCTGCCTCCTTATACTTAATCAGGTAGGCGGCTACTTAATCAAGTATAGCGCTCACACGAATGATTTGGTTCCAAGATATTGAGGGAAACTTAAGCTACGAGCTTCTCCCTTACTTAATTATGTAGGCGCCTGCTTGATTAAGTAGGGAGGGGGGGGGAGCGGGCCAAAAAACAATGCCTAGCTTTCTTGCAGCTCAGCTTGTGCTCAGCAGACTGCTCAGCTTTTGCCCAGCTTGTGCTGCATGTCCTAACTTTCGGTCCAGTTTCTCGCGAGTTAGTTGGACGAGGAGAATCATTGGGGAGAAGCACAGGCACTTGCCATTGTTGGGGAGTTCAATAAGTACAAGGAACCAGCAAGACCTTGTTTCCTTATTTTTGGGCAATTTTGTTGGTTTCTTTTCAGATGCTTTCACCTACTTTTTTAAATCAATCCACAAGCGGAACATGTGGGTAAAACGTTGACCTTCGGCACTCAGGAGCTGTTGACCTTCGCCTGCCGTCGAGCTTCAAAGTTTCGGGAGGAGGGCCGTGCGCATTTCTCCTTGGGCGTCTTGCGGGACAACCTTTGCCAATATCAAAAGGCGGGCTAAGGTTTGTCCCATGTTTGTGCTAAGAGATCGACTCGTGTTCAAGTGTTCAAGTGTTCGGTATTTTAGGAACAAAATACCGAATCCTTCCTTGTTTTTCTCCATATCAAGGTGGTGACTCTTAAGAGAATGAAGACTCTTCCACCTCGTCTTGTCGAGGCCATCGAGGCCTACACGCAGTTCCTGAGAGTCTGCAAAGAGTGCAACGATAGCCAGGGCGCCGCTTTGGGATATCATTGCATAGCCGTGTGAACCCCCAGAGTGAGGAGAGTGAGGCATGCGAGGGCTATGGGCCTGAGAGACATGATTGCCTTTCAATGGGGGTAGATGCAAAGTGTCCCGAAACATCCATTAAGTAAGGGCTTGGAAAAAATCGGAACAAGCCAAACACATAGAAAACGAGTCAAAAGGGTTACCTGCGAGGACCTTTTGAAGGAAGCTCTCCCCAGGAAGCCTGGAGCAGAGGCCCCCCTGGGCCACAAGCAAAGATCATTTTGGATAATCCATATTTACTAGTTGGGTCTATCCCATTGTCAGTTGCGGTCAGTAAAAGGGCTTGCTTTTTATGCATATTTACTATATGTAAAACTTATTTCGATCAAGAACATCTTTGTGTATGCTTTTTGGATTTTGCTGCTTTTTGGGAAAGCATGATCTGGGTAGTCCCAAGACTTAAACTCCCGTATGTTAAGTGGAATTTCGTCGGCCGCCTTAAAGAAGCTCCTAAAGATCCATTCTCACTCACAAGAAGCTACTAGTAACAAGTGCATCGCTTCTAGTAACAAGTGCCTTACTAGTAGTAACAAGAAGCTACTAGTAACAAGGGCATCGCTACTACGAACCCGGGCATTGCTACGAACGTAGCTCCTGGCCGTACTATATACTAGTAACAAGAAGCTACTAGTAACACTAGCTCCGATTTTTCTTCTTTCCGAAAGAGTGGTCTCAGGTCGATTACCAGCTCCAGGGAAGCGGCCAGAGCAAAAAAGGCGACACGACTGACTGGAGTGTCAGAGTCGGAGAAGAACATTTAGAGCTTCTACTCATTGTGTGCGTCTTAGGTTGGAGGCCATCGCAATTAGGTTGGAGGCCACTGCTACTAGGTTGGAACGATGGTCAAACAGGTCATTTCATCATTTCATGTCATTTCCACATCTGCAGGTGACACAGAGGAGGAAGCGACGGGTGGGGAGTCCAACTGCTCAACTTTTTTCCACTTGAGGCCTTGAGTACTTTGGCCGGATTTTGAGATTCTTCAACCCCTACAGATAGTGTTGCCACCATAGTGTGGCCACCATCTTGCATGGGGGTGTTGCCACCGGAGATCTCAGATTGCCGCTGAATCTACAAAGGCCAGACTACCTCCAAGGGTGCACTGGATATGCTGGGGTACGGTGCCCTGGAGATTTGCGAATTGATGTGTCCGATGCTTTGGATCAGCTTGACACGTTGGTATGCTTTCAGCTTAACAGGTGCATCGCTGCTAGTAACAAGGGCATCGCTACTAGTAACAAGGGCATTACTACTAGTAACAAGAAGCTACTAGTCACACTTGGAAGCTTCTATTGCCAAGATCAAGGATGTAGATCTCTTAAGCTCGGCGTGAGCTGCTTTCCGAGTCAGGATCTGTGTAAGGGGGGAGCAGTTTCTAGTGAAGCTCGGAACGAAGTTGAACGAAGACACCATCACAATAGCCTTGGCAGCTTTGGCTTCAGTGAATCACCAACATGAATATCAATTGCAGTGCCTTGTAGATACAGCTGTGGCAAGCTCGCTGCAGGGTAGCAGGCAATGAATGCATCGACCATTCCTAACTAAAACCGTTCTTTTTCGAATGAGAAAGACCACCCAGACCTAAGACCTCGTTTAGGTAGCTTGCTTGTTCTAGGCCTAGCGGGCTTGTCCAAGGCATAGCTGCCTTCTTGTACACCGTTCGTAGCTTCTTATTACTAGTAGTGCCAGGAGCGCCCCGTTCGTGGCGTTCGATCGTTAGCTACGAGTAGCGATGCCTTTTGTTACTAATTCGTAGCTTCTTGTACACCTCACTTATACTAGTTATACCATTCATCTGCACAAAGTCCTGCAGGTGCCATGGCCGCTCAGTTTTGTCCCACCTGTGCGAATCTCCTGATCGTGGAGATTGGGCGCCAGTCGAACTCCGCCTTTCGATGTCGCACGTGTCCCTACATCTACCATATCCGAGAGAAGCTGACGTCCAAGCAACTCATCGCCAGAAAGGAAGTGGACGACGTCCTGGGAGGTGCGGAGGCGTGGAAAGATGTGGACCAAACCGACGCGCACTGTCCCAAATGCGCGCATGGACGCGCCTATTTTCGGCAGATGCAGACGCGATCGGCGGATGAACCGATGACCACGTTCTACAGGTGTACGCAGTGTGCGCATAATTGGAAGGAGGACTGAGGTCGCACGAGGACTCGCACGACTCGTTCCTCTTGGATCCTGGAAGCCGGTCTCGGTGCGAAAAAGCGCTCGCTTGCGGCTTGCTTTTTGGAGACTAAAATGCCCTTGCTCCTAGTAGCGTCCTTGCTCCTAGTAGCGATGCCCTTTGCTCCTAGTAGCAAAGGAACCTACTTGCGATGGCCTCCAACCTTTGGACATACTTGCACATTTTTTGACACTTCCTTAAGGGCGGCCTTTACATGGACATACTTGAACATCGCCATTTCTGAGGGCTTTCTTTTATTCCGCCTCCCTTCTAGTTCTTGGTTAAACGGACAAGGTAACCCAGGTGTAGATGTCGGAGCAAGAGTGTAGCAACAGAGGAAAGAGCCCAACAGTGCGAACGTTGTATTTGGCCGTCCGTCCTGCCCGTGAAAAGGGTTTAACAGTTTAACAAAAAAAGCAAGCTATTCGTGAGGACGGAAAGTAGGAGGACGGACGGCAAAGAGGCCTTGTTTTGTTTTTCTGAGGCCGCCTCCCTCCGCGAGGACGACCAGGTGAGAGGACAGTTGTGGACGACAAAAACAGGAATAGGAATAGGGTAGGCAGGTAGGGCTTGAGTATAGCTAGGCTATAGCTAAGTAGGTTAAGGATGCAAGCTACTAAGCTTAAGTAGCTGCTGATCAGATGCAGGAATGAGGGAAAGCTCTCGTACTATTCATGTGATTTCTAGATTTATGTGGACACTCAACTTATTTCGTTCCGTGTTTGGTTGTTTTCAACATTCTGAGTTTTACTCTTCAAGCCGCGACACCTTCAGCATTGACCAAAGCAAATGAAAGCCAAGAGCAGGAGTACGCAAGCGTACACCAAGGACGACATCCCCCAAAACAGTAGCAGCAGAAAAGAAGGAAGAGAAAGCATCAGAGAGAGAGAGAGAGAAGAAGAAAGAAGAAGGGAGGAGAGAAGAGAAAAATAAGAAGAGGAATACACATCTAAAGAGAAACTGTCCCAAAAAGCAAGAACAGGAACATAGAAGCAACTTCTTGGATTTAGAATTGAAGGCCTGAGCTCTTGAGGAAGGCCATCTATTACCACAACAGGCCGAGGGGCGGAACTTTTCATGCGGCATGCTGAACCGTTGAAATGCTTCTCTCGGAACAAGAGATTGAACATGAGTTGAAGAATCTAGATTCAGAGTTGAACTCAGGATGGAGCAGTCTGACACAACTAGCGATGGCCTCCAACCGACTAGCGATGGCTGTTAATGCTTTTCGTTCCACTTGGTTTTGGCTTCAGCACCTATTCTTGTGTCGACTCAGCTTGAAATTCGATTCCACACGATCCCACACTTGGTGACGGTGCTATGCTGTGGGTTTGATTGGATTTCAGATTGACAGTTGGTGGTAGGCACATGTTTGTCTATGTGATTGCTATTTATGGTATTCATCTATTTGTCTTCTCGAGACATGCTTTATACATCTTGATATTCTCCCCTTTTTCAGTCGCGTCCTTGCTCCCAGTAGTCATGGCCTCCAACCTAGTAGCAATGGCCTCCACCCTAGTAGCATCCTTGCTCCTAGTAGTACGGCCAGGAGCCCCTAGTAGCGTCTGATCGCTCCTAGTAGCGATGCCCTTTGTTCCTAGTAGCGTACAGTAGATGGACAAATTCATCCAACCCCCAAACCACATGCTAGATCGTCCACCTACGGTAGTTCTTGTCGTTTTCCCGTTCTCTTCGTGAAAGGCATCGAGAGATCGCTGACAGTATCGGCAAGTTTGTGGCGCACCTCAACATGGGGCAACGACCTCGGTGCAGTGGGCCTTTGGCCTTTTGGCATCGGCCTAGAAACAAAAGAAGACCAGACGGAAAGAAAAGCGAACAACAAAAAGACAAAAAAACCCATGTGTTTTCCTTTCTTTTCTTTTGAAAAAGGAAAGAACAAAGACCACACCTCATGGCACGATATGGCGTATGGACCGGGCCGATATAAGACCATCCCCATTCGATCCCCGAAAAGGAAAGCTTGGCAGTTGAAGTGTTACGGAAAGGAACCTACTAGCGATGGCCTCCAAGCTTGTGAACGGTTTGTAGCCTACTGTAGCCTAGTAGCTTCCGATTCAGAATTTGCTTTTAACTTTTAACATCTTTTTTACATACTTAGCTTAGTAGCTTCCTTGCTCGTAGTAGTAAGGCCAGGAGCCCGTAGTAGCGTCCTTGCTCCTAGCAGCTTCCTTCATAAGGGAAGACATTCCACTTGCCATGTGCACTGCAGTCCCGACTCAGGTTGGCTTATGCACAACTTGGTGAACGTGAAGCGTCCACGGTGAACCATCAGCAGCTCTGAATGCACTTTGGGTCGAGAGGACCTGAGAATCTGAAAGAACCAGAAGAGCACATCATCTAAGCGAAGAGGAACACCAGCTCTAAGATATCCAAAATAATTCTGACGGAGACTCTTGTGGAAGCCTCCAACCTACTAGCGATGGCCTCCAACCTAATGTTAAGTTTCCCTAAAAGTCTAGAAACCAAATGAATAGCGTGAGCCATCCTGCGTCCAGTTACTTACTAGTCCCTCAATTAAGTAGGGAGGGTGGGAGAGCGAGCAGGCTAAAACATTGAGCAAATAACCACATCATTCCTCTTTTTTTCTGAGGTATGCATTGAGATATGCCTTGCAGCTTCATAGCTTGGAAGGTCAGAGCTTGGTTCGGAGCTCAGCGACAGGTTTGATGTTCGACATTTCTGATGGTTCTGTCCAATCGCCGCGGTCAGAACAGTCACATGTTTTTTCCAAAAGGCCTAGAAAGAGTTTGTTAGCTTTGTTATTTGTTTAAAACTCATTTTTCTTTAACGACTTTTCTTTTGAACCCTTTTTTCCACAGTCGATGGGTCGCCACAAAGAGAGCCACAGCGGGGCCTGGAGCATGTCCAGAAGGGAGAAAGAAAGAAAGGAGGAAAGATTTCAAGAAAGAAGGACAAAAGACACACAAGTCACATAAACATGACAATTGACAGGTGGTTTTGTTTTGAAGTAATTTTGGTTGGTGGGTGTCACTGCCGCTACGAACCAGACCACCAAACGCTTTCTGAAGACTTACCGCTACCATGCGTGCATCCCTCGTTCCTCACAACAACAGTCAGTAGAAAGGAAGCAATGCTTTCTGTAAGGAACCAACATCCAGTTCTACTGAGCGCTGAAAGAAATTCGTTTGTCGGTTGGAGGCCATCCCTCTTAGGTTGGAGGCCCATCGCTACTAAGTTGGAGCACGCTGAAAGAAGTTCGTTTGGTTTACCAGTAGCGTCCTTGCAGCAGGTAGCTGGAGTTACTCTTGCTATTCTCTTGCTAGTAGTAATAATAATGCCCTTTGTTCCTAGTAGCTTCTTGCTCCTAGTAGTAAGGCCAGGAGCCCCTAGTAGCTTCTTGGTTTACCAGCTTTGGTTTGTGCGCAGCTTTTCAATCCCGCCCAGGCCATCGGCAGCCTGAGTTTTAGTGCAGGCATGTACGACCACGAGCCGGACAAGGCCTGTCACCCTACCTTCGCTTCATACCTGTCCAGCTTCGCAACTCAGAGTAACTGTCTACCCTTCACTGAAGTAACAAGAAGCTATTCGGGGCTCCTGGCCATACTACTAGGAGCAAGGAAGCTATTACCCTTCACTGAACAAGCGATGACCTTTGAAGCCTTTGCTCGATATTTTGAGTCCGGTCCGCTGCGATGTTGACTTTGTGGACCTTTGGACCGAGCGTGGATGTCAGTGAACTGAAGATGTCCTGTTGGCACCAAACATGTCTTCGTGTCTGCAATTTTTTATGTGTCCTTCGGATGAAGAGCAAGGATAGCAGAGAACATGCTGTTTCTACGAGAAAGATCACAATGTTGTGACATCATATTATGCAGACAGCGATGTTGTGACGAAGACAATCTGATGTGGTAACAAGAAAGGGGATGCTGCGTTAACAAAGGTAATGCTGTGATAATAGCAAAGATATTGACCGACAACCAAGAATGATGACGAAGCTGATTTGGTGAAAACACAGATGTCATGTTGATGTTGTGTTTGTATTGACGATTATACATAAACATATATACTTATATATACATAGGAATATTTGTAAGAGTAGAATAATGGTAACAGTAGTAATGATACGATGATGCTGCTGATGATGATGAGGCTGGTGGTGGAGCTGGTGGTGCTGGTAATGATGATGGTAATGGGGTGACTTGACGACGATAATAGTGTTACAATCTTATGATAACGAAGCTGCTGCTGAAAGAAGGAGGGTGAGACAATCACGCTAGCAGACATGATGGCGAGATAACGAAGACATTCTTGTGATGCATCTGTATCTTGAAATATTGAAATCCCCCACACTACACAGTCGATTTCGACTTTGCAAGTTTCAAGTTTTGCCCTTGTGGCCTGATAGAAGTACCTTTAAATTACTAACATTACGAACAAGAACGGTTCTTGTTCTGAGGCTTTGCAACAGATCTTCGACCGTCCAAAAGGTTGCCAACAGCATGTTACCACTTCTTGTGGATTGAACGGTTATCTATCAGTTAGACAAGAAGCTATTAGAAACAAGTGCCTTACTACTAGTAACAAGAAGACAAGAGACGAGACGTCGACTGCGCTAGATGAAAATCTTGGTGGAGAGCTACGTCGACTTGTGCGGAGTCCTCAAGCAAACTCGGAACCAGGCCGACCGGACGCTCGCTCGTGCCGAGCTACCTAGCGATCTTTCGTGTCTTTCGTCCGCGATCTTTCGTAGGAGAGGGTTTTTGTTTTTGTTTCATTTGTTCCTAGTAGCTTCTCGTTACTAGTAGCGATGGCCTCCAACCTAATAGCGTCCTTGCTACTAGTAGTAATGCCAGGAGCTACTAGTAGCGTCCTTGCTCCTAGTAGCGATGCCCTTTGTTACTAGTAGCGTCCTTGCTACTAGTTTATTTTGTTTCCCACTTGCCAGTCCTAACTCAGAACTTGAGAGTTTAGGTCTGGATCGGCAAGTATAGCAAGTGTCGGATTTGGAGCATTGGCGGGGACGCAAACGCGAATTCCATA